CCGGCTTAGCCACAAGTAGTTACCACAGCCGGGCCATCACCACAAGAACCGCTGTCCCTGACGCTCGGGCCAGGGCTGACCCCAGCAAGCCTGACCGGCAGAGAAAGGCCTTGTGGTGCGATGCTGACAGGGCGGGCAGCGCAGGGTCTGGTGGTCGCGGGGGCCTCCGTGCGGGGCTGCCAGCCGGGGACAAGGGACTTTAAAATGATGATTTTAAAAATACATATTCGGGTGGCATTTAAATCCGTCACATCTTAAAACAGAAGGCTCAGGCATCCAAACGCTATTTTTACCGAATTCATTTGCAACTGTCCCAGCTCCCAGGCTTCGGTTCGCATCAGAGAAGCTGTGGGTTGGGGTTCTGGTGTTTCCATTTTGTTTTGTTTTTAGCTCTTCCCTTTGAAAGAGAAGCTGCGTCCTTTGTTACAGTAACTCGTACATCCATTGTTCCGTCCCTGTCGGCACCGCTCCTGGGGAAGATGTTTTAGTAAGATGCCCCCAACTTTGTGTTGTTGTTTTTTTTGTCATAAAATGTGACAGTACGCAGTCATTTGAATGCTAATAAGATGAAAATGTAATGCAGAATAGAATGTTGTCCTGGACTCTGAAGGATTTGTAGCTTCAAAGCCCCAAGGGCCAAGGAGAGCACTAATCCTAACTTTTCACTTGCCACTGGGGACACTGAGGCCCTGGGACAGGTGGAGCTTGATCAAGGTCACGCCACCAGAGCCAGGAAAGCAGGGAGATCATCTCTGTGACCTGTACCCTTGGCTGGCTGTGGGAGGCCCCAGCCTGTCATTCGACCTTTCTGCTCCTAGGACTGACTGTGGGCCCGTGGCTCAGGGCAGGGGTGGCCTCCTGGGCAGTGCTGAAGGCCAGCAGACGGTGGACCTCAGGAGGAACTTGAGAGGAGACGTCTGCTAATATTAGGGGCGCAACACTCAAGGAAGCAGCATGAACCAGGCTGGGGAGCAGCATCTCTCTCCCGGCCCCCAGTGTGATCCATCCTATAGGTGCCAGAGCTGAGATCTGAGGCCCTGCCTAAAGCCTGTCTGTCAGGTAGATGTTCACGTACCACCCACTGAGTGCTTATGGAAGACCTACTGGGTGTCCTGTGTACAAACTAGACCCAGCTACTGCCCATGCAGCTCCCAGCCCCAGCACAAGTGGCAGGATGCTACAATCCAGATGTCCAAGGGGGGGTGGGGAGGCTCCGGGGAAGGGACCTGGGGGGGGGGGGGGGTGGGAGGCTCCGGGGAAGGGACCTGGGCTGCCGAGGACAACAGCAGGAAGGGAGCTGGAGGCCCAGGTGGCAGCACGCGAGCTATGCAGATGCGTGGCCGGTCGGGGACTCAGGCAGCTGACAGATGCCGTGCCAACTGCCAGGTGTCGGGGAGATGGTCTGTGCCTCTGAGCCTGCAGACTTGCAGCTCTGAGCAGAGCCAAAGCTCCCAGCAGAGCAAGCGCCAAGGTGAGCTATGCAATTTAGAAGGGGAGAAAAAAACCCAGAGACACTTAGAACAGGGGTGACCTCATGCGTGCACCCGCAGGATGCGGGGGTTGGGGTGAGCAGCAGCTGAGGAGGTACAGAAGCATGACTCACCCCGCTGAGCTTGCATCCAAGTGATTTTCTCATCCCCCCCCCCCCCATACCTGCTTCTAGTCCCTCTGTACTCTCTAGTCCCTTCCAGCCTTTACTGGCAGACAGTTGTCTATTTCCATTTCTCCCTGGTCCATCTTTTGGCCCAAGTTTTAAGCTAAACCTACAGGAAAAAGGAAAAATCCTCCCTGCCCCCCCATCCCTGACCCTGATCCAGCTCCAGAGTCTTCCTGCTCCGGGGTCTGCAGCAGACAAACCCACCATGTCGTGGAAATCACTGATTGCATGACTGCACCCTCCTAGAGGACAGGGACCCGGCCTAGACTCTTCCCCGTGTGCTGTCAGGGAGGAGCCACAATCCAGTCACTGGGCATATGGGATGGCAGATGGATGGATGGATGGATGGATGGATGGATGGATGGATGGATGGATGGATGGATGGATGGTTGGATAGATGGATGGATGGATGGGTGGATGGATCAGTGGATGGATCAATGGATGGATGGGAGGGTGGAGGGATGATGGATGGACAGAAGGACTGACAGATGGATGGATGGACGGATGAGGGAGGGGATAATCCTAGCTACTCAGGTTGAGATCTGAAGATCTCAGTTTAAAGCCAGTCCAGGCAGGAAAGTCCATACAACTCTTATCTTCACTTACCCAGCAGAAAACCAGAAGTGGAGCTGTAGCTCAAAGCGGGAGAGCTGTAGCCTTAAGCAAAAGAGCTCAGGGACCGCGCCCAGGCCCTGAGCTCAAGCTCCATGACCAACAAAAAAAAAAAAAAAAAAAAGAATTTTTAAGAAGGGAAGGAGGGAGGGAGGGAGGGAAGGAAGGAAGGAAGGAAAAAAGGAAAGAAGGAAGGAAGGAAGGATGGATGGATGGATGGATGGATGGACAGACCAACAGGCAGGCAGATGTGGATGAAGTTCACTCAGCTACCACAATGATCTGAAAGTGGACGGTTGCCTGGGAGTGCCTGCCCTTTGGACCACAGATAGAGTCCCAGGAAGGACCCTCCTAGCTCATGTGTCCCTGCGTGATGGGCGATGTCATTACCGGTGTCTCTCACCCTGCCGCAGGCAGCAGGGGACAGACAGAGAAAGAGCAGCGCTTGGGTTTTCCAGGTCCCTTGTGGCTTGCAGAGCGCCTTGGCTCAGGATGGCACTCTACGTAAACCTCGTGAGAACCCCTAGGGGGAACTTCACCTGGAGGGCCCAGGGCGGCCTGCTAGGAACAAGTCTCTTAACACACACTTCCTGAGTTTGGATCCTCACCCCCAGTCCATGGGAGCTCGGAATTTCCTCTGCCTTTCTTGGCCTTCCTCCGTCCTCTGGAGATCGCCAGACCTCCTCCTTCAGAGCTGGGCTTAGAGACGGATGATGAGAACCGTGCTCGCCAGGTGCTTGGATGCACCGGGCTTGTTGCAAGTGGTTGGCAGGTGCCCAGCACTTCCCCATACTCCCTGCTTTCTGGCATGCCTGGGGTTTGAACTCAGGGCCTTGCACTTGCTAGGCAAGCACTGAACACAGCTTTAGCATGCCCTCCTCCTGATTTCTAAGGTCATGAAACCCGCGCGGATTCACTCCCTATTTTCTGAGAGGTGAGGAAGCCAGGTTTTGAGCCCCGTGGCTTCCAAAGCCCAGACACTTGAGACCTTCCAGCGCGTCTGAGATACATGCCCCTGGAAAGCACACACTGGGCGCGGGACCTAGTACGTGCTCAATAAAAGCTCTCCATGTGCCAGTCACGTGTCACTGTCACCTGGGGGTGGTGGGTCCCCAAAGTATAGATGCCAAATCTACAGTGTGAAGCTGGAAGCGCCTTGGGGTCACAGTGAATGAAGATGTGGAGAAGCTGGGGTGCCTTGGGGGTGCCGCGAGGGGTGGGCACGGTGGGGACATACGGCCTCTGCCGTCACCCGCCACATCTGCTAATCAGAATGAGGGCCCATTTCACCCCCTGTACTGGGAGGTCAACAGGGGACAGTGACTCTTGTTCCCATTCTACAGTTGAAGAAACTGAGGCCCCAGAAATGAAGTGAACAGCCCAGGGTCCCCTAGCCAGGATTCCAGAGAGCTCAGTGTTGAATGTAAAGCCCTCCAATGTCAGATCCTGGGTTCCTAACCGTGGCAGCACAGCCCACACCAACTTGGCACTTGGCAGAGGAAGAAGGACTTGTCTCTCCCCGCCCCCACCCCGCCTCGGGGCTTCTCCACCTTCTGGGGCTGTGTGGCGTGGACAAGTTCCTCTCCCCCTCTGAGCTTCAGCCTCTGGTTCACCAATTCCTCCTTCCTGAAGTGTGTGGAAGAGGAAGGGAGGCTGGAGGAGGCCAGGCAGGTGGGGTGGGCGCGGCGTGGGGACGCAGGTCCGCTTCCTCCCCTCGTCCCCTTACCCCTCTCCCCGCCCCCCTGCCCCCAGCCCAGGATGGCCAGCTGTCGGAGGCAGCTGGGCGGGGCGGCCCCGGTGCCAGGCTCAGCTGAGCTCATCAGAGCCCTTTGTCACCCAACGCTTGCCGGCCTGGGCCCTGGTGTTGGGTGTCGGGCGGATTGGATTCTCTCTCCTGGCAGGGGTGGCGAGGTGGGCAGGAAGAAGTGGGCGGCGGGGGCTGTGGCTGCTGTCCGCGGTGCTGAACGGTGGGGCTCCGGGTGAGGCTCCGTGGGGCCCAGGCCAGCGCCTGGCCAGTCAGGGGAAGCTCCCACCACCACCCCCCAACCCCCAACCGAAGCCTGGGGCCGTGCAGCCGGGCCGCCGAGCTTGGCTGGCTTTCCCCAGCCAGGCCTGAGGCCTTGGGTATGTGGCTGGGGCTGAGGAAGGGGGGGGGGGAGGGGGCGAGTGCTGTGGTGGTGGTGGGAGTGTGCGCTGGGGGAGGGGACATGCCGGAAGCCAGGGTCTCGGGGGGCACGTAGGGGCGTGGGGAGGGGTGCTGAGGCCCATTTAGAAGTGTGGCCATGCATGGAGTAGATCCAAGAGCCACGCGGGGCCTGTGCTATGGGGTGGGAAAGATCTCAGCGGGCGTAGGTTGTGTGCTGGGGTCAGTTACGTGGTGTGGCAGGTTGCTGGGGTTTGGGGGTGCTGGGGGACCCTCAGGGGGGTGAGCATGGTTTGCGTCCATCCTCGGTGATACTCGGGGCGCTGTGTGCCCGGCCCTGGTCACTGACTGTGTGCTGGTCCTACAGGAGTCGCCCCGACCATGTAGATGGCAGTCCTGGCCAGCAGCATGGACCCCGCCACTGAACGGAGACGCCTGGATCTGCGGCCCTGAGCCCCTCCCGCCCCGGACGCCACCCCCAGCCGGAGACACCGCCCGGCGCCCGCCACCACCGCTGCCGCCGCCGGCCCACAAGGGTGGACCACGCACAGACATCACCGCCAAGCCTCCCGTGCAGCGTGACCCTCGGGCCCGCCCCGAGCCGGGGCCTTGGCAGCCATGGGTGATCTGACCAACAGTGACTTTTACTCCAAAAACCAAAGAAACGAGTCGAGCCATGGGGGCGAGCTGGGGTGCACAATGGAGGAGCTCCGCTCCCTCATGGAGCTGCGGGGCACCGAGGCGGTGGTCAAGATCAAGGAGACGTACGGGGACACGGAAGCCATCTGCCGGCGCCTCAAAACCTCACCCACCGAAGGTAGGTGTGCGAGACTTGAACCCAGAGCCGCAGCTGGGTTGGCGCAGGGGCCGCGTTCCTGTCGTTGAAGGAGGGGCACGCAAAGTGGAGCCAGGTGTGACTGCCCCCCCCAACTCGGCCCACCGCAGCCCCATTCACAAGCGCAGCCAAGCAGGCCTCGCCCCTGCCCCCCGCCCCAGCCGTCCCCAGCCGTCCCCAGCCGCTGGCCCAGCCCACGGCAGCAGACACCGCCCGGCCCGGTGGCCAGCCTGGGGGCCACGTGACTCCCAAGTCCAGACTCTGGGTGGGAGTGGCCAGGGGACAGCGGGAAGACGTGGTGACAGGCGGGCAGTGGGTGTCCCGTGGCTGGCCGTGGACTTGCTTACAGTTGTTGGGATGAGCAGATCTGGGACTCCTGAGGGTCTTTCTGGGGGTCAGAGAGGAGAAAGCCTGGCATGGGCCCAGGAGCTCAGAGCTTGGGTCCCCGTTCCCGCACATCCGCGTTCCCTCCCGCTGGCTAGGAAGGGACAGCCCATTCGCCAACACAAGGGCTGTCCAGCTGTCCCAAGCCTGCGACTGTGCGGAGATCACACTGAGCTTTTATTCCTTCTGGAAAAATGAAGCCAAGGTCTACTGCACGGCATGCTGACCCTCGGCCCTGGCATACAGTAGGTGTTCAATTAATGGAAGTAGATGTCAGTGCCCCCACCCCACCTCCTGAAATACCTCATACCGAATTGGAGAACCCTGACTCGTATGTCCAGTCCGCATGGCTGGCAGGCTTGCGTGTGGCTCTCCCCAGGGGCCCTCAGAGGCCAGCGGGCAGCCTGCCTCCGTCCCCAGTGCCCAGCCCCGCCGTTTCCAGCCTCTCCCAGGGCCTGTGCCCTGCTCCTCTGGCACGGGAGCAATGCGGAGCTCTGTGTCTCCGCGTTCGGCTGCTCTTGCAGAGGCCTTGGTGTAAGACTGAGCCAGCATGGATCTCAGAAACATTTCTGGCTTGGAAGGAAAGCTTGGGAGCCCTGAAGGGCCGGGCTCTGTGGGGTATTCCTGAATCCCAGCCCGAGACGGCAGAGCTCACTCCACTGGGCCGGAAGCAAGGCCTCCTCCATGGCCTGCGGGCGGGATTTTCCCAAGCGGATGTTCAGTGAACCCAGCCAGTCCTAGGAGAAGATAACGCAGCCCATGACCTTCTCCCCGGAACACAAGCCGGACACTTGAAGGGAATGTAGTCTTGAGGATCTCTGGAAATGGGCCGAGCACCTCGCTCTGCCCTGCAGCCAGGAGAGCTTTCCTAGTCCCAGCTCTGGGCAGGGCTCCAGGCTCTGGGGTGGGGGGGCAGGCAGGGCATCAGAAGGCTTCCTGGAGGAGGCGTTTGGACCTGGCTGTGGAAGGAGCTCAAAGGCTTGAGGCCTGCAGAGGGATTGCAGAATTCCGTTGAGTACGGGTGGGTGGCAAGAAGCCCGGCTCTGGGTGGAAATGGACTCTGTCCCCTCATCTGTGAAGTGGGAGGAATGATGTAACCCTGGCTCTCCCGGCCAGCAGGGGCCCGATTGTGTGGGCCTCAGTTTGCCCACACAACAGTTTGCTCAGTTTCTCAGGAGGATCGCGTGGTGTCGGAGGAAAGAGCTCCCCCGCCCCTGTGGAGCATCCAGAGCCAGAGCGGGGGGAGGGGAAGGGAGCCAGGGCAGACCACTGGCCAGGGTTCAAATCCCAGCACTGCCACTGGCAGCTGTGGGGCTCTGGGTGTGTCGCTCTGCCTCGCTGGGCCTGGGCTGGCTTCTGTGTGAAGCGGGGAGAGCGATGTCACCAGGCGCCCGCCGGCCCCCGGTGCTGACAAGGCAGCTACCATACGTCGTTAAAGATGGGAAGGCGCGGGCTGGGAAGGTGGCTCAGTGGTAGAGCGTTTGCCTGGCATGCATGAGGCCCTGGGTTCGATTCCTCAGCACCACATAAGCAGAAAAGGCTGGAAGTGGCGCTGTGGCTCCAGTGGTAGAGTGCTAGCCTTGAGCTGAAGAGCTGAGGGACAGTGCCCAGGCCCAGAGTTCAGGCCCCACGACCACCACCACCAACAAAAAGATGGGAAGGTGCTTGAGTGGTGGAGCGCCCGAGGGAAAAAGCCAAGCAAGAGCGCGCGGCCCGGGGCCCTGAATTCAAGCACCAACACCACACACACACACACACACACACACACACACACACACACACACACACACACACACACACACACACACACACACACACACACACACACACACACACACACACACACACACACACACACACACACACTGCTCCCAGCCCCATCCCTTTGAAAGAGGCCATCAGATCTGGCAGCCTAGCAGGGCGCCCGGGACCATGAGGGGCCACTGTGGGGGGCCATGAGGCCCAGAGGCAGAGTGGACATTCCCTGCAGCACCCCCTGAGCCACAGGAGGCTGGCGGCCAGCGCCCTGCCTTTCCTGGCCCCCAAACCTCAGGCTGCCGGGCAGGGTGGCCCGCCCAGAGCCTGCGTGTGCGCCGTGGCCCCGTGTGTCTCTGGGACGGTGCGGACGGCACCGGGGCGCGTCTCTGCCCGAGCCCGGCGTCCCCGCGGGCCACGTGGGGTTTTCACGAGTGGAGAGGCGAAAGTCAACTCTGGGCTGGAGCCGCAGGTGGCGGCTCGTGGGTTAACGCAGCGCCAGCCTGCTCTGGTCGCCTTGGTGATCCTCTAAAAGCAGTTGGGCGGCAGGCCTGCGAGTCACGTGCCGCCCACGGCCTCCGGAATTACCAGCAGAGTAAATCCACGAGTCCGTCCACGCCTGCTGTTCCTTGTCCCCGGGGAGATGGTCCCGTGGGTGGAGGGGCGGGGGGGGGGGCGCGGTGACCCCCACAGCCAGCCCTCACGCCCCCCACCCCACCGGGCAAGGCTACGTGGCCTGGCTTTGCCCCCAGACCGACTGAGTGGCCGCAGTTGGCCAGATAGGTAGCAACATAGCAGGCCAAGCTCATCACTGGCCACTCACGCCTGTGATCCTAACTACTGGGGAGGCTGAGATCTAGAGGATGGTGGTTCAAGGCCAGCCCCATCAGAAATGCCCTTAAGGCTCCTAGCTCCAAAAGTAACCAGCAAAAAGCTGGGCTAGCAGTGTGTCTTAAGTGGTAGGACACCCGCTGAGCCAGCAAGCTGAGCAAGGATTGGAGGAGGGGTGATCCTGCCCAGCTGGGTCAATGTCAGCTGAGACCTCCTTCAAGCCAAGGCTCAAGGACAGGGACGGGGTGAGGAAACGTCATATTCATGGGGAACCCTAGGCCCAGGGCCGGAGGCTGTCAGCCCCAGAGCCCCTTGACGGGGCCCAGACGGGGAGTACTGGCTGGGAGGCCAGCTCTCCTCACTTGCTGTGTGATCTTAGGCAAATTTCTTTCCCTCTCTGAACCTCTCGGAGAGCAGGTCTAGACAAAGCTGTTGAGGAAATAGTCTGCGAAAGATTATGCCTAAGCCTCTCCCTTCCCAAAGCCCAACTCCTCACAGCGGCGGAGTAAACGTGTTAGATTGTGCTGCTCCCTGCCCCCAAACCCGCTGCTGCGGCTGGCCACCTGTCTGCTTGTTGCGAGCAGCCCGAGGAGTTTAGAGCCCCAGCGCTTAACAGCCCGGAGTCCTTGAAAACCTTTCCCCAGAGCCCTGAGGGCATGCTGACTGAAAATTAACTGTAATTACCGGTTAAGTCTCCAGCTACCCTGCTCCTCCTCACCCACCCCTGGTGCGGTACACCCCACTCGGCCTGTTCACTGATTCATCCATCTCCTGCCCGGAGTGTGCACTGAGCACCTATTTGGTGCCAGGTGCTGTCCCAGATGCTGTAGATGTGGGGAGGAGAGGCCATCACGGGGGCCTGCCCTGTGGAGGCGGCCTTTACTGCGCGCCTCGGCCATCATGGCAGATGCCATGGCCTTCCCTGGGCCTTGGAGGGTGGGTGACGGAGACCACCCCCTTCACGGTGTCCATTTCCTGGCCCAGCCAAGCTTTCTGGAGGCCTATGACCTTCCTGAACTTTCTACTTCCCGGCAGCCCCAGCGACAGTGGGGGCCCGGAGTGGCCCGCCCTGGGTGGTAAAGAAGCTGAGAGTCACATGGAGGGTGGGTGCCCCGCCCAGCCTCCCCCAGGGCCGGCCCAGGCTGTGTCTCCACCTCCCTGGGCCTCCCCCCCCCCCCCCCGCCCCACGCCCGCATCCTTGACCCCCCCGCTGACCATGGACAGCCACTCCATGCTGAGCATGCGCACACCCCGGCCCAGGAAACCCAGTCTCGATTTCACCCACCCAGTAGGGTGCTTGGACCTGCTGTGCTGGGCCCTGAGGTAGAGACCCCAGGGATGCCTGCCCCGGGGGGCCTCGGAGCTGCGGAACAGGTGGGGGAGGGTGGGGGGGCAGGGGGGGCAGGGAGCGGGAGGGGGGGCAGAGGCAGCCGAGGGGCTTTCCTGTGGGCGCAGGGGCATCAAGGGCGCAGGGCAGGGGCGCGGCAGCTGAGCAGAGGCCCCCAGAGACCATTTTCTGAAGCTGCCCTGGGCAAGGCTGCACGGCTGCGGGAGAACCGCGCACGGCCGCCCCGCCAGCCTCCCAGCAAGCCAGTGCCCCTCTCCCCCCCCCCCCCCCCCGCCAGCCTCCCAGCAAGCCAGTGCCCCTCCCCCCCCCCCGCCAGCCTCCCAGCAAGCCAGTGCCCCTCTCCCCCCCCCCCCCCCCGCCAGCCTCCCAGCAAGCCAGTGCCCCTCCCCCCCCCCCCCCCCCCCGCCAGCCTCCCAGCAAGCCAGTGCCCCTCTCCCCCCCCCCCCCGCCAGCCTCCCAGCAAGCCAGTGCCCCTCCCCCCCTCCCGCCAGCCTCCCAGCAAGCCAGTGCCCCTCTCCCCCCCCCCCCGCCAGCCTCCCAGCAAGCCAGTGCCCCCCCCCCGCCAGCCTCCCAGCAAGCCAGTGCCCCTCCCCCCCCCCCGCCAGCCTCCCAGCAAGCCAGTGCCCCTCTCCCCCCCACTCCCCACCCCACCTCCCAGCCTCCC